TCAAGACTCGTCTGGAGGCACTGGGTATTAAGAGGATTAGAACGACTCCGTATCATCCGCAGACAAACGGCTTAACCGAAAGGAACAATCGTACACTCAAGGAGTGGCTAGCTGCGAAAAGAGGCAACTGGGAAACTGACTTACCGTTGGTAATACTAGCACATCGTGCCACAGTACAAGGGACAACAAAAAAGTCGCCTTTCCAGCTGATGTATGGGAGGAAACCACGCTTACCGGTGCACCATAAGACTTGGCCAACACAAGAAAAATGGAACAGTAAGAGATGGACAAATGAGCGGAAACAAGCTATTCAGAATATATAAGAGAAGCGAAAGAAAGACATCGAAAATTATGGCAAGAAACAAATCAAAGCTTGGAAGCCGTTTGAAGTAGGTGACCAGGTGAAATGTAGAGAACGAAAGTATACTACCGGAAGTGGACCAGGATCAGGAAAGCTTCTGCCGAAGTGGGAGGGACCATATGTGGTCACATCGAGACGCGGTCCAGTGTACACAATAAAGAGAGGTGATAAAGAGAAAAGAGTAAACGCCAGTCTGCTACAAAGATGGAGAGAAGAATGTCAAGATGAGGTACCAGAAGAGCAGCAGGAAGAAACGTCTGTGCGGCGATCAAGGCGGTTACAGGAGAGACTTTATAATGAGGGGGCGAGTGTGGTGAGTGCTACTTATAATCCGATATAAGTAGTATATCAGGAACGAAGTAACAACATGTTTGGCACACCGAAAGAGCAATCAAAGAAGAGAACCATAAGAAGAATGTTGCCATATGATGCAGAATCCAAGAAGCTATCGAATGAGATGATATTCGACCAATTCGTCAAGGATGTGGTGAAGATGTGCAAATGGCCGGTTTAGAATATGGTATTCCAAATTTAGCTATGTACCATACGTTTCACCAAATAAACAATCCTTTCAGTCTCCTCAGTCTTGTCTTCTTCACAGATTAAGAACCAAACAACCAACCAACAGCAACAACATAAAAACAGACAACACCAATCACCATCAACGTGAGAGCACGTTGACCGCTTCACTTATTTGGGAAGTACCATCAGCCCCAACGGGTTGATCTCTGACGAAATCTCAGCACGGATACAGAGGGCTAGTTTCGCATATGCCAGTTTACGCCGTCTCTGGCGTAGATGTGATATCCGACTATCAACCAAAGGGCGTGTGTACTGCTCATCAGTCCGCTCCGTCCTCCTTTATGGCTGTGAGACCTGGTCATTGAGAGCGGAAGACATGAAAAGATTAGCTGTCATTGATCATAGGTGTCTGCGTTCTATCTCCCGTGTGAAGTGGTATAATAGAGTGAGCAATATTGAGGTTAGGTGTCGGTCGAGTGCTAGGTAAGGAGGGGAAATCAATCGACGAGACTGTGAAATTACATCGACTGAGATGGTTAGGACATGTGTTACGTATGCCTAGTCATCGCCTTCCTCGACCGATGGGCAATGTTAGCTGATATAGGGTCAGGCTGGAAAAGAGCTAGCGGCGGTCAAACCAAAACATGGCACCAGTCAATGAAATCTACAACAGTTAGTCTAAGCCACGTAGGAAGGTGTAGACTTCCTGACTGGTTGGGGTCCTCGGGACGGTAAAAACCAATGGTTGGAAACAATTGGTGACATGGCTCAAAATCGTTCTCAGTGGCTGGCGCAGATGCATCCACTCCTTGTGACTTATGATTTCCAATGAAACTGTTTTGTTCTTCGTTATTACTATTCCTTTGTCTCACACCTCTGTTTACTGTCTATATTATGCATTTCTCCTACTTTCTTCTCTTGCTTTGTGTGCTACTAGGAGGGAGTGTGGCGACTTGAACTGCCGCACATATGTGCAAAGTTCTATGTCGAAAACAGACAGACAGACGTGAGAGATTTAATGGAGGTCACTCTCCTCCTTCACTTATCTGACCAGAGAACACAGTTTCAACTGAAGGTCATCGGAACCAATGAAGATGTCAAAACCAGTCAGCCAAAGGAGGAAAGACAAGACACACCTTCACCAATCGGAAACCATTTTGAAAATCTTCTCTACTCCGCTTCAGCATGAAGAACAAGATTCGGATTCTGTTCAACACAAATGTGAAATCAGTCAGTGCTTCTATACGGGTCAGAAACTTGCACTGTGTGTCACGAAAAACATTTCCAACAAGTTACAGACTTTTACCAACAGCTGCCTTCGCTGGCTCCATACTGAAGATCAAATGGCCGGCCAGTCAGCCAGAAAGAATCAGCAACAAGAAACTTCTCAGTGGAACAAACCAACCGAGCAAGAGGCGATCGCTCAACAAATATGTAGGAGAAAGTGGAGATGGAGCGATCGGGCATACACGCCACTGAGGAGGCCGTCGAATGACATCGCGCGCAATCCAGGCCATCTCTCTAGTGGAATCGCAATGGGAAGCAACGAGCGGGTCGTCAGTGCCAGAATGACATGGAGGAGATGAGAGATCATGGGGAAACGTGGACCCAGCTGAAGAGGACGGTAGAGAATAGAAGAAAGAAGAGATGTGTTATTGAAAACCTCCCTATGTTACACTCGGAACCCAAGGGAATAATAATAATAACAATAACAATAGAGTGACGTAAAATAGAAAATATGTAAAATGCACAAAAAGAATTCTAATATTATATAAGTCATATGAGAATGAATTATGAATACGCATATATATAGAGTCTGCGTCACGTTAAACAGAGTTTCTTACTACGCGTTTTTTATGTGTCACGCGATTACAGTCAAACAGTCCAAGTTAATAATAATAATAACTTCATGGGTTTTTGTATAACAACATTCTAGTTTATTAACAGTCGGTTCATCGAAGCATTTGAAGTGTATACAAAGGAGTTAGAAAAGGCTGTCGCCCACTACCAGTGGTGGACTGACCGGATTATGTGGCATATTGTACGTGGGGAGCGAGTAAACAGGAATACGGCGGACCATAGATAAGAAAACTCTCGAAGATCTGGATTTCCATAATGATTTATGTCTAATGTTACAGACACTCAAAGACTTATAGGTGAAAACTTACAAACTAGCACGAGAAGCGTACAGCAAAGACAGAACTTCAAGTAAACATAGACAAGACGGAGGTGATGAAGATGACAAACCAACCACGAGCAGCAACAACAACAACAACAATCACCAATCATTATCAACGGAACAAAAATTTGAGAGAGGTCACTTGCTTCACTTATCTGGCCAGGCAGCATCCTTTCAATCATAAGCAATAGGCACGGATGACAATGTCAAAACCAGCCCAAATTGAAAAAGGGGCAGTGTTAAAGTTTAAGCACCACCAACGGCTAATCAGCGAATGACCTCGAACGCACCAATCACGTGAAGGAGGCATTTTTGTGTATGGAATACATATATTTATGAAATAATGCATAAAAACTGTATAAAAGTGTTACAGAGGATACCTTCCTCTCACATGTGATAAAAATAGCTCCCAGCTTTTAAGTTGGAGTATCAACAGAGTATAGTCCTATTGTGCGTAAAGTTTATTTTGATAAAGTCTCATAGTGTTATACAGTAATATTTACTGGGCAATAAACTGTGCTCGAAACGTCATCAGTAAATGTTACTGTATAATATTGTGGAATTTATCAAAATAGATTTTACCCACAATGGAATTATACTCTACCACAGTGCACAAGTTCTATTCTTATATCAACAGAGTAATTTAACCACATTCTATGCATGTAATTATTTAGGTCTTCTAACCCTAATCTTTCCTGAACCTAACCCTAACGTGAAAATATCCCTAAACTAACTGTAATCTAACTCGAACCAACCCTAATGTCGCCTTTATAAGGTTAACCTAACCCTAACTTGTCCTTGACTTAAAGCGTACTTTAATCGTTCCCAAACCTAAGCTGAAACTTGCCAGATATCCCATTTAATTAATAGCATAACACTTCGATGAGCATATTTTATTGATGACGACAACATTATTTGCTAGGTTTCACTAACTTGCTCAGTGAGCGTTTCAAGGTCATTCATTGGTGAGGTCGCACTCCATTGGTGGTAGTTAGTGGTGCTTAAAGTTTAACTTGACCGAAATAGGGCAAGACAAACCTTCATCATTCTGAAATCAATCTGGAAATCTGCATTCTGCAGTAATAAACAACAAATTCGGAATCTCAATACCCGGTGTAAGTTCTTCTGTACGAGTCAGAAACTTGCACGGAAAGGATTTTCAACAACTTACAGACTTTTATCACCTATCGCTCAATAAATGCTCCGAAGAAAATGAAGATGTATCGGACACACGTCACCGAGGAGACCATCGAATGGCGTCACGTGACAGATCATCGCTCGCGTGAAATCGGAGTTGGGGAACGTTGAGTCGAGCTTTTGTCCAATGGTGAGATACAAGAGATCACATAGGGAGAGGATTAAAGCTTATAGAAAATAATGCGGACACCCGAGAGGATGGCAGAGAATACGGCAATGTGAAGATGTTCAGTTGAAGACCTATGTTCCACTCAGAATAAAAACTGATATTCATCTCTCTTTAAACTTAATCCTAGTTCAGTAACAATATTCTTTGTTGACACAACCAAATCAATAGGCGGTGAAGTATATTCAACAGATTTTATTGTTGAAAAATAAAAAAGCACAGAGATGGAAAAAATCTTAAGGACTTACCTAAATATAGTAAAAAACCAATCGAATAGAAACATATTTGTCTCAAATCCAACTGCTTTAATGTGTGCATACAAATGAGGCAGATATTCAGCAAATAATTTATCAAAAGCATTCACGTAGACTAAAAACTAATTTGTTAAAAGAAACGAAAAGAAAATAGAGACAAAATAACAATAAATGAGTAAAAATTAAACTCGACTAATGAATACAGTGCTATCAATCATAACGACGAATAGTTGCTACTAAATAAGGAAGCTAAATGCAATTAGTGGATGGTGACTAGCAGTGGAATCCACCAGGATAACGCGCATTTTGTCCTATTTGGGACTCATCCACCAGCTGGATGTACCTGCATTCCACAATGAGTGATGATGTTCCCACCGAGGCCCAAATGGTGGATAACGCTTTGACTTTTGAAACTATGGGAATTGGCTTCCAGCCTCGGTGGGAATATCATCACTCACTCACTGGGGAATGCAGGTACATCCAGCTGGCGGACGAGTCCCAAATAGGACGAAGTGCACGTTATCCTGGTGGATTCCACTGCTAGTCACCATCCACCAATTAAATTCTAATTACATGCTAAATTTACTTCGAAGTCTTCATTAGTATCCTGTTCTCTCCAGTCCTATAAGCTTTCATCTCTAGCTGACACGATCTTCTCCATGTCACTTTCAGACCAACAAAAAACTCTTTGTTTCCTACTCGGGGTTCCACTAGAGCGATATCATTCGACAGTCTCCTCAGTGGCATGTATTCAATCCATATACATCTTCCTCGCCCTGTTTTTTGATTGGCTCGTTCCCAGAGTTTCTTGTTTTCTGATTCTTTCGCTGTTGATAATGGTCTACAGCAGGCCGGTGGAAATGCTTTCTATGTCTAACGGCACAGTTGAGGTAATTTCGAGTTTCTAATGTTATTACTATTGCACAGAGTAACATAGATTATTTATTGTTGTCTTTGGAGAGTTTTGAGAGGCCGTGTATTATTGATCAGCTGTTAAGACATTAAGACACACAGAGATCGGTTTCTTTTGAGTTTAGATTTCGGTCGTTTCACTATCTTTTTATGATCGCTATTGAACATCTTTGGATGAAAAGGATGAGGTGCCTTTCAGAGTCTTATTACTTGTAGTAATTACATGTATATATCTATCTATATCAGTGCTAACCAACCGAATGGCATAATACGGATACAACAGGTCAACTAGGTCAATTAACTTTCTGGAAATTTCATTTTGAGCCTTATCGACCCCTAAATATTTATCCAATGCATTAGTTGATTACCTAGAACTCAGTTACACGGTTACAGACTATAAGTCACACTTGCCTGAGGACTGATGACACTACTCCCGTCTAAAGCAGATGAAGTGAGTTTTTCCAACCTGAGACCCATTGGTCAGAAGTTGAGTGATTCAGCTCAAGAATGTCACACATCCACTTTCAATAAAAGCACACTTCATAACAAAAGTGTTTTAAATGCTTGATTATTACTCTGGATAAAATTTTACAACTATAGAAATTTCAGGTAATACTTTTTGAAAGATTGATACATAAGCATGAATGAGATGTGCCTTGAGGAGATGCATGATACTTTTATCTAAAGTGACTTGTTTAGATCTAACAGAAGAGTCTTTGAAATACAAAATACTTTGATGTTGAAACTTTCAAGGCAAGTTCATTGAAGGCGGTAAATTATTTATTATTATTTATTTAAACGCAGAAAAAACTTGGTACAATATGGCACCAAGAAAGATGCGCCACACAATAATAATAAAACAACATAGATTAAAAGTAAAAAATATAAGTAGAAAAAGGATAAAGAACTTCATCTGGAAGGAAAACAGTCATGTTTAACAAGTTCAAACAGTATTCGTTAACTATCATCAGGAAGGGAAGAAAGAAGGAAATTGCAACACGACACAAATAGGCTAGGAATCCAGACAAAGGCAAAAGGCTGTCGAAGGTTAAGAAGTCAAGGTGAGCAAAGGTAAAATACAGGAAACTAAGTATAAAAATAAAAGTAAGGTTGGAAAGAGATGTGTTACTTGAGAAATCATTATTGCTTGAACGCATTGTTACGAGCGCGCGATAAGTCCCACTGATATTTTGTTGCTTTATTTCATTCATTGTGTGAGGGCTAAGATACTGCCCGGGTGCCCAGACCGAAGCAGGTGGTTTTCTTAAGGGAACACCCCGAGCCTTTGACTTGGAGTCTAACCCGCAAGGCAGCGGAGCAGCATCAGGTGCTGCGTTCCCATGGTTGCCGGCGACCCATATGGGTTCGTACGTCATTTGATCCGATTGGATTCTGGAGCCCATGTACCCCATGGTAACTGCTTTTAGTCTAACCGCTATCCAAACAACCTTCCTGGCATGGTAGGACCTGTAGCGACATGAGTCCCAGCCAGTTTAGCTTGTTGGGTCAGTGCGGCATTCAAGGCTGTAAAAGTTAAAGAAGAAACAAACGCAATTCATTTAAAGATATTGCAGTAAAATATGTTGTGAAAGGATAACACGGAACAGCCAAGGCTCTGGTAATTCCTAGGGAGAAACCAGAACTTTTATGTTTAAAAATGTTTAATCCAACCTTCTTTTTCCTACCATAGCTTTAGTGTCTATTGTGTTCTCTTGAACTGTTGCATAACAAACTCTATGTAGTCTTTATATTCGATATAACTCATTTTTCAATTCTCTGTTATCCTAATTGGTGAATGGTGACTAGCAGTTGAATCCACCAGGATAATGCGCATTTCGTCCTATTTCAGACTCGTTCACCAGCTGGATGTACCTGCATCTCTCAGTGAGTGAGTGATGATGATCCCACCGAGGCTCGAACCCATTGCCCATAGTTTCGAACGTCTAACCGTTGTCCACTAGACCACTTGGGCCACGAGAGCCACTGCCTTTAAGGTTTTATTAATTACTTAATTCAAGTTTTAGATTTTCCCATCGATTGATTGGACCGAATTGCTCGGTCTCAGGTTGACATATCGGCTTCTTGTGCAGATGCTTCGATGATGTCTAGACATGTAATCAGAAGTTGATCGGTGAACGGTGACTAGCAGTGGAATCCACCAGGATAACGCGCATTTCGTCCTATTTGGGACTCGTCAGCATCTAATTGCACCGGAAGCCGACATGTAAACCTGAGATCGAGCACTTCGGTCCAATAAATCGATGGGAAAGTCTTTGTTATCCTTCTTCCTATCAATTACTTCTAACTGACTATTCATCATCTCTTTTCACAAATTCACTTCCAAGCTATACAGTTATTTAGGGGTGTATATATTACTATTATTATTCCCTGGGGTTCTGAATGTAAAACACAGCTTCAACAGGACATCTCCATTATGTCCAGCTCTCTTCAGTCCTTTTCAGCTGGCCCTACGACTTTTCATAAGCTTTCACCTCCTCCTCACATGATCTCCTCCATATCACCCTCGGACAAACACCCAACTCGTCATTTCCCATTCGAGTTGCACTTGAGCGATGGCTGGACGGGCGATGCTACCCAGTGATGTCATCAATGGCATGTATCCGATCCATCTCCGTTTTCTCCAACATATGTGTTGAGAAATACTTTTTTTAATTCATGGAAAATTTCCATTGGGAAATATAGAAAACCAAAGCAAGTGATTCAGTGAAGAGACCCTTTTCAACGAATTTATTATCAAGCTGTATAATCACATATATATGGGTATTTTTTAAAAGAAATTGTATCTCCTGGGGGAATTGAACCAAAGGTGTCAATACATACAATAATAATGGTACGAAATGCAATTATAAAATGTTTGTGATTCTAATTATCGTTAAATGTCAAGTGGTTAAACAATTCACCTGCTCATGTGGAGCTAGGTATATCGGTCATTCGACTCGGGGTTTCTCCAAGAAGGTGGAAGAACAGTATCCTGCATGATTACGAAGAAGTGGAAGGGAAACTATATGAAGCGCGATCACTGAATATTTGGTCGGTAATGATCACCCTATCTCTACAGCCCTATCCTTTAAAGTCATTTACAAGACGGAAAGTAATTAACCCAAATCACCACGTATCCGACTCATCTGCATCAATGGAACTTTAGACATCAAACAGAAAAGCCAGATATCTGTATACAGAAAAAAAATTCGTTCGACGCCTCCAACCTTCATTGTCTTACAGGATTTCATCATGAGCTGACATTGGTTAGAGAACCATTGGAAAACCACCAGCTGGGAGTACTGGATAGCCATCTGTTTCCCCGTCCTAGTTTGGGACTCTTTGGCAGTACGCACCCACCGCCACTGGGGTTCGAACCCAGGACCTTCTGGTTACAAGGTGAGCGAGAGAGCTCGTAGACCATTTAACCACTGGGACCCGATCCAATGGCCAGCCCATGAATTCTAACTTCTGCCAATTCACAACATAGCGCAACCGCTAGCCAATGTCTTCGGCGAGTATTTGTCCTCACACCCGACCTGCTGCACCCTACTGGTCACGACTTCCCACTGGAATCCCAGGTAATTACCCACTTGAATAAAGCCAGTCGCCAGTGAGCATCTCATTGATATTCAAGTATTGGTATGTAGGGATTTGGTTGATTAGTTATAGGATTTCATCATGAGCTGACCAATGTTAGCTCATTGTCTTAATCATTCTTTGCTAAAGTATGGTCATCCCTAATCATACTTTGGCACTACTTGTTTTTCGTTTTGTTTAACCAGTTTATATATATCCTCTTCTTACTATGTCGGTTGTTACTACTACCATTATTCTCACTCTGAATTGTCCCCGGTATTATTTCATTGGTCCACTTGTCATTCAGAATCAGTTTTGTTTTGCAACGTTAAATTCTATGTTACCGAATTTCACACAATGTTACGTAACGTTTTTATTTTTAATTCTATTCACCTACTAATCCCAGAATTGTACATACCTTCCAATATCTATACATCCTATGAATTGTTCTATTTATGATATTAATTGTTTTGCCACTTGACATTTAACTATGATTAGAATCACTAACATTCTAACTGCATTTCATACTAGTATTATTTCATGTATTCACACCTTTGATTCAGTTCCCTTACTGTATATAATTTCTTAAAAAACCATATATATACATATATATGGTCGCCATTGGCGGAAAACTTGAAGACGCGAATGATTCAGTCGTGTACAAGTTGGAAGAAGACGAAAGAATACGAAAAAAAGTACAATACATTCCTTGTAAAACATTTGTTAATAGACGTTGTACAGAATATTGATTTTAACTGTCGAACAATACAATTTCTTATTGGTCCTTGTGTTTTTAGGAGTTAAAGTCGATAATCGTACCTAGTATAATTGTCGATTCGAAGTGTCTTCGAAAATAATATGAACTTAGGGTTAAGTTTCTTGAAAGTTTTTATTCTTCTTTTCCATGTTCGGAGCGACTTCTGGAACTCTTTTGAAGAGTACTTACTTGGTCCACCGCCAGCATCTTTGGTGTCACGGATTATCGCAACGCAATTTGGATCTTTTGGTGACGTTGGATAATGCCTGGGCCAAAGAAGGGACGTGGCACTTTGGAAGCAGACAGAAAAGTAAGTAATGTTGAGTTGAGTTGCCTGTTATTTGTAATGATGTTTATCATGCTCAGCACGATAAGCTTGATGTTCATCTTTCGCCGTCTAGTGATAGTAGGGATTTTAAACTACCGAAATTTGAGCCTCAGTACTTTGATGGAAACCCAGCCGAGTATCCACAGTTTATCAAAGTGTTTGAAGTCATGTTGAGTGGTTTTGTATGAAAACGACGAAATGAAGTTGATGTATTTGTTGAGGTATTGCACTGGTGTTGCTGCAAGAGCTATACAGTGCTGCAAGTTTATGCCCCCAAACGAAGAATACACTGAGGCCATGAGGATATTACGTCAAAGGTTTGGGAGGCCATTTATGATATCCAGGAGCGTTTATATACATATATATACAATTGTACAGTTTGATAATAAATTTGTTGGAAAGAGTCTCTTCACTAAATCACTTGTTTTGATTTTCTATGAATAAGTTTTTGACCGGTCCTTCTCTCTGAAAAGTTTCTTATTGCTAATTCTATCTGACCAGTCATCTATCTGATCCTTAGTATTGAATCAGTGTCGGCAGCTGTGTTGATAAAAGTGAGCAGTAGGTTGTTGGAAACGCGGTTTCGTGACACGCAGTTCAAGTCTCTGATGCATATCGATGAACTAACTGACTTGATGTGTGCAGACGTTGGTCTGACTGGCCTATTTTTCAATTTCGGCTGGTTTTGCCATTCTCATCCGTTTATTGCCTGTATTTGAAACGATTCTGGCTAGATAAGTGAAGGAAGTGACCACCTTCAAATTTATTCCCATTAATAGTGAGTGACTGATGCTTGCTGTTGTTTTTGTTGGTTGGTTTGTTATCTTCAACTCTTCCACTACTCCCATGTTTCCAATGGCTCTCTAACTAATGTGAGCTCATGATGAATTCCTGTAACCAATCGAACCCCTACAAACCAACACTTGAATATCAATGAGGCGCTCACTAGCGACTTGCCCTATTCAGGTAGGTAGTTACCTAGGGTTCCAGTGGGAAGTCGTGACCAGTAGGATGCAGCAGGTCGGGTGTGAGGACAAATACTCGACGAGCTCGCCTTGAAACCAGAAGGTCCACTCACGAAATCTATATCTCCTAGAGTTTTCTTATCGGTGGTCCAACGTCTTCCTGTCTTCTCGCTCCCATGCACAATCTGCCACATAGTCTAGTTCGCCAGAATTAGTAATATCCTTGATGATAATAGATAGCCTTGTATTAATGGAAACAAAACACGTAGTTCAACGGAGAGTCTCTTTTCGACGGCGAATTCATTTTCTTAACTGTACAATCGCAAATATATATATATGGGTTATTTTGTATGTATGTGTACATTAAGTTTGCCAAACAAAATTACAATCGGTTATGGTTATTTTAACTAAACAGGTGAAGATTGATAATTGGAGTTACGTAATACAGAACCAGTCAAGAAACCTAGGTGTTACTGAATCTAGGGTAGTAAAAAAGGTGATGACTTGTCACAAACAGTTGTTAAAAGAAATTATGTAATAATATGAATAGTTTGATGAGTGAGTTTTACTCAGGATACACATAGGAACAAAGTAGAGAATACGAAATTACGTAAGAGTTCTAAAGGAATACAAGAATTATAAGCAATTAAAGAAACAAGCAAACAAACAAAATTGAGTCATCGAAAATCAACAAATATGTTACCATGATAGTATAAGTGGTTGAGTAATCCTCTTTTGTATGCAAAGCTCCCGTTTTTCTATGTGAATGGCCAGAGCTTCAGTGATACAAAGAAGACGAAACCGTATGGCTTTTGGTAGGTTATTCCTCACTTTGCAGATTACTTTGAAGTATGAGGAGTTTGTTGAGATGGAATGACCAGGCGTTCAATTATCGCACTCCATATTGCACCACTCGCCTTTTCGCAACTATGCTGGTTGGATAGTGTTCTTGAATCCTCTTGGACAGGATGCGCGTCGAACGACCGACGTACCTGGCTTCATAGCAGTTGGTGAATTGATATATGCACATAGAAGTGGTCAGATGCGGGATCTTGTCCTCGAGGCTTCTGCAGATCAGTGGACGGATGGAGAACACTACATATATATATATATATATTTGTGATTGTACAGCTACAAAAAATGAATTCGCCGCAGAAAAGAGGCTCTTCGCTGAACTACGTGTTTTGTTTTCATTAATGCCTAGATGGGGATTACCATGAATTAAAAAAACGTAGCCTTGTGTCTTACTCCTGTCTTCACAAAGTATGGTTAGCTATCAATACTTCGAAATCAGTTGCCTGGAACAGATACCCCCAACTTAACAGGCTACGAACAACACTTGTCGCATAAGAACTCAAAATACTATTCACAGCTATTCAAGCTGAAATATAGACAGAACTCACTGAAAGTCAAGTACCGTCAACTGAAAAGGCGGGATTGATTACACGATGTGGTGGTTAATAAGCATACCCCCAGATAACTATCAAAGTTAGTAGTCAACATGAACAATTGAAGCAGACTCACCTTTTCTTCATTTAAGCTATAAAATGCTTGCTGACATGGTTTAGCTAAAATATTTGCAAATATTACAAATGCATCATAAACATTATCCAATACAATTAAAAGCATTCCAGCCAGTGATGACATTCCTGGGACATAGCCAACATCAGGTTTATAAGTAATATATGCAGCCAACAAATCATGCAATTTTTCATGATATGGATTACCAAATTGAAATAATCTCAGATCAGGGAATGTTCGACAGATATCATTCGATTTAACTCCACGTGGACCGATGATAACACGATCTACAGATTATGAACAGAATTGAAAAAGAACAAACAGAAAAAAACAGAGATTTATCTGTTCAACAATTGTGACAAATTTATAGAATATCTGATTGCATGGAGGATTTCATCATGAGCTGACATCAGTTAGAGAACCACTGGAAAACAAACAGGGAGCGCTGGACAGCTTTTTTAGTCATAGTTTGGGACTCTTCACAGTACGCACCCGCCGGGATTCGATACCAGGACCTTCTGGTTACAAGACGAGCTCGTAGACAATTGAGCCATTGGGACGCGATGCAATGGTCCTTGAATTCTAAGTTCTGCAAATTCACAACGTAGCGCGACCATTTCGCAATGTTTTCTTCAATGAGTTACTGCATAATCTTCAACCTGCTTTACCCTACTGGTCACGGCTTCCCACCAGAACCCCCAGTTGTGTACTGATGAAGAGTCCCAAACTAGGACGAAACAGCTGTCCAGTACTCCCCGTTGGTTTTCCAATGGTTCTCTAACTAATGTCAATTCATGATGAAATCTTCCATACAATCAAACAAAATCTCTACAAAACCAATACTTGAATATCTGATTGTATCTAAAGTTAGTTAGTTGGATCCAATTGCATTTTATGCCAACAATATTATTAAGTGGGACAGTCAATTTGAAATATATTCACTGATGACTTTACAAGTGTTTTATACAAAATCTTTGTAAACTTCATCGTACAAGCAATGTAACGTTCCATTTGTTTGTTCACGGTTATTTTATTCACAAATAATTTGATAAACATTCCATCTCTTCAGTACAAAATTCTTTATTCTAATACCCAACTAGTTAAATGAATTGGTTAGGATTCCTGGCTTTCACCCAGGCGGCCCGGGTTCGATTCCCGGCGCGGGAGCGCTTTGTGCGTCGGTGGCATAGCGGTTAAGACGCTCGCCGACCATGCACATGGTCTGGGGTTCGATCGCCGGCCGACAGACTCCTTTACCTCGCTGAGCCAGAAATAATGCTGGTGAAGAGGAAAGATTGGGCATGAGGCTAGCAAACTCATCCTGTAAAATAAACACTGCTACAGAAACTTCAAGCCACAAGCTTGAAGCCCTATGTTCCACTGGGGAACGTGAAGGAAAAATAATATTAAGGTTAATTTTGATTGAAATATAAGAAGTCTAGTGTGCATCGGTGGTGCAGTGGGAAGATGCTTGTCAACCATGTTGCATGTGGTCTGGCCTTGTGTTCTCGGTCGACACACTCCTAGATCTCGCTTAGCTGGTAGAAGGCCAGGTGAAGAGGGAAAGTTGGATGTGAGACTAGCAACCTCACTCCATAAAAAAATGAAAACCACTGTTGCTGAAACCTCAAACCGCAAGCTGGAAGTTTTATGTTCCACTCTGAACGCAAAAGGAATGAATAAAAACGAAATTTCAAGAGATAAAGCAACGAAAGATTGTTCTAATTAACGAAAGAGGAGGAAATAAAACGCCATCTATTATTATTATTGTCCCCCTGGGCCCTTACGTCCACTGGCTGACGCGCGATGTCACCAACGCCTCCTCAGTGAGTGTCCATCCATCTGCACTTCTCTGCATATTGTGGCGTGTTTTGTTTGTTTGTTCCTCCGGCCATTTGATCTTCAGTATAGAGCGAAGACAGTTGTTGATAAAGGTCTGCAACAGGCTGTTGGAAATATTCTTTGTGACCCGCCAAGTTTCTGATCCATCCGTATAGAAGAACTGACTGACTTGACGTTTGTATTGAAAATCCGAATTTTGTTGTTGATGCTGAGTGACGAAGATTTCGAGATTGGTTTCAGGTTGATGAATGTGTTTCTCGCCTTCCCGATTCTCACAATGAGGATGCATTTATTGAGACAGGAAGGTACAAACATCTACGTGAGAGTTGGATTCGACCTAAAACTTTCTGATATAAAAATGATTAATGGGCTGAAAAGAGAAACTACAGTTGTATTATGTTTTTTCGAAACATTGAGTTGAAATAGGGACTCCGAGCTGCTGACATAGGCGGCAATCACGAGTATCGTTTCTCTCCACCAACACGTACATGTACAACGCCTGACCGATCTCTTAGCCCACAGCCTCAATGACAGGACACCATAAACTGGACGGAAAGTAACAGTATGCTTACACAATAATGTATGATTCAAAAAATCGCCATGGTTGCATTAAATAGTCTGTAATCATAATTAACAAAATAGTGGGCGTTACTTCCCGTAGGTTGATTCTGATTGGTTTATTTTTTCAGTCTGGACAGATATCGACAAATCAAGCTAAGATCTTGATTTCTACACTTTACAGAAGAACAAAATCAAGCAATTACACGCACAGAAACGACAATAAACATCCAGATAGATGCAGATAGGTCTTGCCGTTATCTTTCAACAAGTATGAAACTAATAGCATAAGACGCAAAGAAATTGACGTAACGCCTTCAATATAATGCAAAACATGAGACCAGTGAATTTATTTTAGCAAAAAAAGTGAGACCGTAATGAATTTTTAAAAAGATGATTACCTGTTAAAGACACTGATCCAAATGCTAAATTGTCTAATTTCGGAGAACTATTTGACATAGTCATCAGTGGATTGGTTGAAGAACGTCTATCATATCGAGGCATTCTCATAAAACTACTACTAAAACTACTAAAAGTAGAATACTCTGTAGTAGAAGCACGTGTATATTCTCGTTTAATTGGTGTTGTATTTAACTTGCGCAATATAAAATTGCACACTTTACAACTAGTAGAATCTGTTTTTAAATTAGTTAAATCGAAAGAGGAATTGAAGAATACACTTTTTAAAAACATAGGTGATTTCTTTGTTGTGTAATCAGCACTTGCACATCGCTGGTTAGTGACATCTGATTCAACATGACGTCTGCTTTCACTTAAACAAGCGTTGAATAACTCTCGAGTAATTCCAAGTTTATCGATCAGCAGTAAAGACCA